TGTCATAGTACAGTCTTTCATTTTGTATTTAAGATTTTTGTTGTTAAAATAGTTATAATAGAAAGCATTTAAGAAAAAACACACTTTCACTGCTTTGTGACTACTACTTTCTATATTTACTGAGAATAAATGGAGTAATTAACATTTACAAGGGCCAATCAAATTAGATACCATTGCTAGGACCCTTTTTTCTATGTGAGGCATGACAGCTTTCTAATATATTCAGTTTGGGGTTTTAAACTCATGTGTGAAAAACTACTAAGACTGTATAAAGGGTACAACTGCTGGTGTATTGCTTTCAATTAAGTTAATACCACATTGTACTTAATTGCTTTAAGTTACTTTGTGGAGCTGCATCTTAAATTTTGATTTAATCTTTAGAATATTTTCTGTTAACACTATTATTTCATAAACTCTTAAGATTTCATAACAAATGGCAAGGCTGCCATCTAGTGCTTTTATGACTATTCTTCTGAAATTTCTAAAAGGGAGTGGGGTCCTATGTAATCTAGTGAAGAATTGTTCAGTAAGGTAACCACTAGTCACATGTAGCAATTGATTAGTTGAAATGTGAGGAATATCTCATTAATGATTTAATGATTTTTTAATAATGAATACATGTTAAAATGAAAATATCTTAGATATGCTGAGTTAAATAAAGTGTTTTATTAAAATCCATTTCACTTGTTTCCTTTTGCTTCTTTAATGTAAATTCTAGAAAATTTAAAATTACATGTATGGCACACATTATGTTTATATTGGCTAGTACTGATTTAAAAGAAAAATTATTTTAGCTTTCAACATAAAAGGCTTAAACATTAATATATTTTACATTTGTAAAAAATGGAATGTAAGTCATATAATGTGTTTATAATTGTAAGTAGTTTGGGATATATTAAAGGCTAAAGATTCGGAAGAGTCAAAGAGACATTTCTAATTAAAAAAAATCAGATGAAAAATATGTCCCCTTAAACTAAATCCAGGATGTTTGCCATAAGAAAAACAGAAAAAGTGTGGAAAAGATAGAAAATAAAGATAATTTAAATGACATAGAATTTAGACAATATAAGTTTGAAACATATTATATATGTATGACTATATAATTCATAACAATACAAAAACAAAAACCAAGATGTCACCTTTAAAAGACTTAGAGCAAACAATTCTTTATTTTAAATAAATAAATGAAAAGTAAATAAATAAAAAGAATAAATAAAAACAAAGTGAAGTACTATAGCATTTATCATGCTTTTCATATAGAAAACGTAGCAAAAGCTAAAATTGATGAACTGGAAAAAAAAATCAGGAGAAAGGATGAATAAGACCAAAAGCTGATTCTATAAAATGGAAAAAAATTAAAACAAACAAAAACACACCAATTAAAAAGCACAGACCCAGAGATTAGGGTTGAATTACTTAATCTTTAAAGCTCATGTAATAACAGTTTTAACTGTTGCTGTTTTTAAAAAGATAAAAGTCTTTTCCAAATTAATTTTTAAAACCTATTACCATAATTCCACAATATGTACATACAAAACAAAAAAATTAAAAAACACAATCAAAAGTCATTTTGTTAGAAAAAATAATGTACAAAAAAGACAAACCACATTCATTTATACTGAAAATAATTATAAATAAAATATAAACAAGTAATATTAAGCTGTGTCACAAATAATACTATGCCATGAATAATTTTGATGTAGCCCAAAATGAAAAGAGATTTAACATGAGAAAATTGATTAATGCAATTAAGCATTTAACAAGGTAAAAGAAAAAATCATTCATGATAAAGTCTTGTAGCAAAATAAGATAGGAATTTGCTTAATTTGATACAGGGAATATTCCATAAATTATAATAAACACCCTACTTGATGTCTATATTACCATCACTGTCATTCAGCACTGAAATAGAGATCCTAAACATCCTCATAAGGAGATTAAAGAGTCATAAGGAGATTAAAGAGACAGGAAAAGGAGTAAAACTATCTTTATTTGCATGTAGTATAATTAACTGCGTTTAAAAATCCAAGCAAATCTATAAACAGAATTAATGGAAGGAGAAGAAGACCACTGAAGTTGATAAATATAAGATCAATATACTAAAATAAATTTTAAATTTAAATTTAAAATGTAAATAGAAAATATAATTTTTCCTTTTTTTTTTTTGTCCTTTTTGAGACCGGCCGCACTGTGCTCAGCCAGTGAGCCCTGTGAGCACACCGGTCATCCCTATATAGGATCCGAACCCACGGCGGGAGCGCTGCTGTGCTCCCAGCACCGCACTCTCCTGAGTGCGCCACGGGCTCGGCCTGAAAATATAATTTTTCCTTTTTTTTTTTTGTCCTTTTTGAGACCGGCCGCACTGTGCTCAGCCAGTGAGCCCTGTGAGCACACCGGTCATCCCTATATAGGATCCGAACCCACGGCGGGAGCGCTGCTGTGCTCCCAGCACCGCACTCTCCTGAGTGCGCCACGGGCTCGGCCTGAAAATATAATTTTTAAAAATACAATTTAACACAGCAAAAGAAAATTAGAAAATAGGATATGTTTTATACACATGACAAAACATGTTCAAAGCATGGACACATGAAATTGAGCTTAACATTATTAGTCATTAAAGAAATACAACTACATTAAAGAGATACCATTACACACACACTAGAATGTCTATACTCGAATAGGCAGATAATGTCAAGTGATGATGATTATGTGGAGAAATTGAAATATCCATAAATTGCTAGTGTGAATGAAAATGGTATAATCCATGCTGGAAAACCATTTGCTCGCTTCTTAATAAGTTAAGCATAAGCTTATCGTACAACTCCGAAATTACACTTCTAGGAATCTACCAGAAGAAAATAAAAATATATGTCCACACAAAGACCATATGAATGAATGTTTACAGTCTAGTCAAAACCTAGAAACGATCCCAATTCCATCAACTTGTAGATGAACCAACAAAAAGTAGTATAACGTTCACTAATTTTTAAAATAAAGTTACTCTATTAACAAAATAAAATAGAAACTCCTTATGTTTATCCACATTAATGCTGAAAATCATCAGGCATAAACAAACAATCATTCCTAATAAAATGTTCAGCAAAATAAAAATAGAAGGTAATTTTCTCCATCTGATAAAGGCATCTGGGAAAAACCTACATCATATTTAATGTTGAAAGATTGAATGCTTTCACTCTAAGATCAGAAACAAAACCAGAATAAATATTTATATGCTCATTACATCTTTTCAACATAGTATTGGAAGTGCTAACTATTGCAATAAGGAAAGAAAAAGAAATAAAAGGTATCCACACAGAAAAGGAAGAAATCAAACTTCCATTATTTGCAGAAGACTTTATTATCTATGTAGACATACTGATGAAATGTACAAAAAAGTCACTAGAACTAACATGTGAATTTAGCAAAGCAAAGAATACAGATCAACATTAAAAACCAATTGCAATCATAAATACCAGGAAAAATCAGAAATATTTTAATAATACCATTAACAACAACATCAAAAATATTAAAAATGTAGAGAAAAATCAGACCAAAAAAACCCCAAAACATGAAAGACCTGTACAATTAAAACTGTAAAATATTTCTGAGATAAATTAAAGAATAGTTTTTAAAAATAGATATACTGTGTTCATGGGTCAGAAGACTCACTATTGTTAAGATGTCAATTCTCCCTCAAATTCATCTATAAATTCAAAATAGTCCCAATTCAAATTCCAGCATGTGTTTTCATAAAAATTCACAAGCAGATGCTAAAATTCATATGTAAATGCTAAGAAAGTGGAATAGTCATAATAAGTTTTAAAAGGAAGAATAAAGTCGGAGGATAAATGCTACATGCTTTCAATACTCATTATAAAAATACATTAATTATAAAAGTGCTATGTTGGCATAAAAATAAACAAATAAATTATTGAAACAGACAATCCAAAAATAGACCCACACATACACAGACAAATTTTCAACCAAGGTGCACAAGCAACTCACCGGTTAAAGGATTACCTTTAAATAAGTTGTGCTTAAACACGTGAATATTTATATGGAGGAAAATGAACTTCAATGTATAACTTACAGTATATATAAATATTAACTCAAAATGGACCACATACTTAAGTGGAAAACTTAAAAATATAAAACTTCTAGAAAAAAACATAGGGGAAAATCTTTGTAACCACAGTTAGGCTAAGATTTCTCAAAAGAACAAATTCATAATTTGAACTTCATCTAAATCAAAAATTGCACTTCAAAAAAGTAGTGTTACTAGGATGAAAACACAAGCCACAAACTAGGAAAAAATATTTGAAAATCATAAATCTGATAAAGGACTTGTATCTAGAATAAAGCATCCTGAAAAAATGACATGAAAACAAATAATTCAATTACAAAGTAAGCAATGGATTTAAAGAGACACTTGATCAAATAAAATGTATGCATATGGCAAAGAATCACATGAAAAGATGCTAACCATCATTAGTCATTACAGTAATGAAAATTAAAGTGGGAATTACATGCTATCTCACACCTATTACAAAGGCCAACATTTAAAAGAACTGAAACTTTCATACACTGCTGGTGGGAATATAAAATGGTACAACCATTTGGAAAAGAGTTTGCCTATTATTTAAAAAGTTAAACCTACACCTGCAAAATCTCTACCTTAAAATTCTATTTGCTGAAAACTTAATCATAATGAAAAGTTTGCAATATAATCACCTGAGTTTAATTAAGTTCTATTTTCTGTTCCATGTTCAGAATAAGATCTATTGCTATGTTATTGTTCAGAATAGAAAAAAATACACCAAACAAAATTAAGAGAATATAGCAAAAAGATATTGCCTTTCTTAGAAATATATGAAGTTGTATTATAGGATTTAAGAAATAGAAATTGTAAAATATTAATGAAAATTTTACGTCGAGATGACTTTTATTACCTGAAGCTAACAAGCCAATTATTCAAAATGTAAAAATATACAAATACTTACAATAACATGTTCCTCTAAGTGGATTACCAACATAGCGATTTTCAGAGTCACATCTGTAGAAACACAAAAACTCATTTATTATTAAACAATGTATTTCATAAGCCTTGTGTTTTTCTGCAAGCAAAAAATGTATTTAAACTCTACATTAAAACATCTTCAAAACTATATCATTAATTGAAATTTAAAAACAAGTCTTCGAAATAATTAATTGTAGAAAGCCTATACACGAGTATGAGAGAGAAAAAATAAGTGGAAAGGAAGAAAATAAACACACAAGAGGAATATAAAGTATGTCAAAAATCAGATGGGATAAGATTATGAGCTTTGGGATATGTATCCTTCCCTTAATAATGAGGGGAAGTTGAAAGTCTGAATAAAGATATAGAGACACATTTGGGGAGAAGAAGAAAATTCATAAATCCACATTATTTTCTTACTTGTGATATTCTTTAAAATTAATATATTTTTCCTCAGTTTCTAAACCAACAAATCTGTATAAAAAAAGACCTCCTCAGTCGGGTAATGAAAAAAAAGTTTTCTTTAAATCAACAAACCCTAACAAAATAGTCTAATATGGACTAAATTCAGGAACTCCAACTTTGAATTCATGTAATCAGATTGTAAAAATGAAAGAACATGTAAGCAGGGCCGGCCCGGTGGCGCACTGGATAGTGCGCCGCTTGGGAAGCACGGCGGCGCTCCCGCCTGAGGGTTCGCATCCCACATACAGACCGGTTCCCGCTCACTGGCTGAGCGAGGCGCGGGAGCAACGCCGAGGGTTGCAATTCCATTGCCGGTCCCCGGTCCGGTACGGGGGCAACACTGAGGGTTGCGATCCGTTGCCGGACACGGAAAAAG